CTCTATACACAATCCTTTCTTGTCTTTCAACTTTGAAGTGCAGAGATTAAGTTGAGCTCAAGACTCAGAGGGATATGCTTTTGTGTTGTTGCTGCTGTTTCTGCCATTTTTCTCATTGTCCTGATGTTCATTGGCCATCCGTTCGTCCTTCTCTTTGATCGCTATAGGAGAAAGTTCCACCACTTCATTGCTAAACTTTGGGCTTCCATAAGTATCTATCCGTTTTACAAAATCGACATCGAGGGTTTGGAGAATCTGCCATCATCAGACACTCCTGCTGTATATGTTTCAAACCACCAAAGTTTTCTGGATATATACACACTTCTCAGTCTTGGCAAAAGCTTTAAGTTCATCAGCAAGACAGGGATATTCGTAATTCCTGTTATCGGTTGGGCCATGTCCATGATGGGCGTCGTTCCTTTGAAACGGATGGACCCAAGAAGCCAAGTGGTATGCGACTCTCTTCCTCTCCCACACTCTTCAAGTGTTTGTTTTTTTTAACTCTCAACTCTTTAACGCTTTCGCATTGTATAGGATTGCTTAAAACGCTGCATGGAACTCGTAAAGAAGGGAGCATCTGTCTTTTTCTTCCCGGAAGGAACACGGAGTAAAGATGGTCGGTTAGGTCCTTTCAAGGTACTACACAATCCCAAAGACTCTTGATCGTGTTAATGGTCTGTGTGGTAACATAAGACGCTTTTCTGAAAATATGATATTACAGAAAGGCGCATTTACGGTAGCTGCTAAGACGGGAGTTCCAGTAGTTCCAATAACGCTAATGGGAACAGGCGAAATCATGCCGACGGGTAGTGAAGGTATACTGAACCATGGGAATGTGAGAGTTATCATCCATAAACCGATACACGGAAGCAAAGCGGATGTTCTTTGCAACGAGGCCAGAAACAAGATTGCGGAATCTATGAATCAGCTGAGCTGATCGCAAACGTTGTTGTTTTTGCAGTACCTCTGATGAACAATGAGAAGCTAATTGTTTTACTTTTGGAAGAACAAAAAATATGTTCAGATTTTGATTAATTTTTATAAGAAAATGTCCGTTTTATATTCAGAGGCACAAGTGTTTTTTTTTTTGGTTATGGCCTTGTTATGGTCTTACTCTTACACACGTCTTTATGGTCTTGCTTAAATTCTTCTATCCGTCTTTATGGTTTTGATTTTACAAGAAAAATCAATGAAAATCTGTTACACTAGAATTGGAAAATTAGCTAATAAGTTGCCAACCGACATAAAAAAACTACAACGAATATATGTTTTCAGAATGGAAATGTTAGATATCTTAATATTTTTTTTTTTTGGGGTCAAAATATCTTCATATATTTAAATTTGATTTTTACATTGAAAACATTTTAAAATAATTATTTGATTATCAACCATTTCGGTGTATAATTTTTAACGTTAATAAAGGATTTGAAGACTAAAGACAGCGAGTGGACCCCGACCCGGACGGCACGGAGACAGTTTCAGTTTCTTTCTTCTCAAAAATCCAATTTTCTTACAATCTCTCTCTCTCTCTGAAACGACTTCGTCTCCTCCCACCATTTTTCACT